TAGTGGCGTAGTAGCATAGTGGCGTAGTAGCGTAGTGGCGTAGTAGCATAGTGGCGTAGTAGCGTAGTGGCGTAGTAGCATAGTGGCGTAGTAGCACAGTGGCGTAGTAGCGTAGTGGCGTAGTAGCATAGTGGCGTAGTGGCGTAGTGGCGTAGTAGCATAGTGGCATAGTAGCGTAGTGGTGTAGTAGCATAGTGGCGTAGTAGCGTAGTGGTGTAGTAGCATTGTAGCGTAGTAGCATAAGACATAAGACAGAGTGCAATTTGTAGTCTCTTTCATTTTTTTGCAAAATAGTAAACAAAGAACTTAGGACCTTGTAATTCCATCTTAAAAATTGTTCTGACAGTCATTGTTGTTATGTAGATGAACTCATTAAATTCATCCAACAAAATATCACTATGGTACTAAATAGTTTTGATAACGCACTGAGGTCTTGTGTAACATAAAGCCAAAAGAAACAATCGGACTTTTGTTAGCAAACAAACCACATAAAGCGCCCCAAATCTGAAATATGTTTTTAGAAATTTGACAGCAAATGGATAGGAATTTGTGTCTAGTTCTAGACACAAAATAGGTTTAATACATTGTATTGTGATAAAAGAACAACTCACTTCCCCACGTCGCTAGAGAACGCACATGGTTAGGACAACAATCACGTGTTTAAATAACCGCTAGGAACGCCTGCTTCAATTGGAATGGTTACAACTCTTTCTTTCACTCAGACCCGATGACATAGTGACGAAGCCTTCCCAGAAGGCCTTCGTCACAAAAATGGTCAATTAACAAGGGCTGAACGTTCGTTAGTGTTTACAATGTTTACAGTGAATGTAATAGACGTGAACAAGTTTCGGGAAATTGAAATTTAAACAGAGGGCCGCTTTACTTGACTATTCTTAAAATTCCAGGACAGCCCAGAATAGCCTCGTTCCTGTCTTAAACTGAAATTTTGAAATGTGAAAAATATAGAGGTTCGGGGGAAATGTAAATACAAAATATCCACCATACCTTTTGGTCATGCACTATCGATCCTTTTTGACAACCTATAGAAATAGCGGAACATTCTTATCAAATCTACAGAGCGTAAATTGTTGATTTTGAAACACACCCAGATTTATATTAGAGTGTGCTGACGTCTGATGTTTCGACACAGGGTCCAAGTCACTTCTTCAAAGCGCGCAACATCAAATCATTGAAGTCTTCATCAAGAGCCGTTCCTACAGAACAAGGTAAAGTAGGACAATTTCAATTGAAATTCAATTTTATAACCGTTATGTTTATGTACAATACAAACTTCGTTCGCGATATGTTTTTCCTGTTGACGTTTTTGAGTCTCCACTCATCAGTACAGAACTGAACGATCTCGGTTTACAAGTCTCACCGAAATTTAGTCGGCGATTGGACCACTTAAGCGGCTTAAGTGTCAAAGTGAAGAAAACGTTTTTAAGCTTTTTATTGAGCGAAAAAGARTTGGATTTGAGTCATTTGTTTTTCCTTAGAAATGTTTCTGTTTCCTGTATTGGCGTCCCTAAGTAATGCAAATCTTTAAAATTGATTGCTTTCTTTACTAGAAGCACCACCAACTGACAAGATTGGTTTTGTGCATGTACCAGATAGATTATTGTTACTTACACTTTTTCCTTACCAATTAAAACGATACAACAAACAATTTCTCAAATCAAGATGATTTTCAAGTCGAGAATTTTCTATAAGCGATGGAATCACTGAAGAAGAACAAGAAGTGAAGTAAACAACGTTTACAAGAAGTGAATAGCACATTTAACAATATACAATTTAAGTGAATTACAATGTTTCATGTTAACTTCTCAAAAAGCGTGAATGCAGTTTTAAAATTGTTTAGCGCAATA